ACACATACAACTCTATCAAACACTCCATATTTATAGATTTATAGAAACGAGCTGTAAATGGGCCAATGGGATCCATCCATGCATCATTTGATGAAGCTAAACTTCCACAGCAGTTATTGAATATGTGTAAACTGCAGAGGGTGGAGCAGAAGGCCTGTCGTTGTCTGAGATAAACTGAGCCTCGTGTTAAATTCTGACTTATCAGTAGGTCATTGTAGATAATTGTAGATGAACAATACCACTGATAACAGCCAGTAACTGCTGGATAACAGCTGGAACGGTGGGGGTCGGGTTAGTCACAGTAAGAGCTGCCTGACTGTGGTTAAGCTACAGATATCACCATCAGAGCAGTGTTTCACTGTGATCTGTTCACAGATATAGAATCAGCTCAGAGCACGTGTGTCCGTCTGCTCTCACAGACACTGGTTAGTTAACGGGTTAGCATACGCGCTGAGGTGGTTTAGCAGGTTGTATTTAATGAGAGTGAAACGTAGAGCAGCTCTGGGGTGTCGCTGGCACTTCTTAGATCAGGCTGAGGCCTCACCTTGATGTTCCTTGGCTCTCAGGACCTCCTGCTGAGGTGGCCTTTACCTGCGATATGAAGCTCAAAGTGCACCTGAACACATAAAAGCAGCTCAACCTTTCAGCGAAATGTCAGATGGCGTGTTTCCGTCTTCCTGCCTTCCTGAAAGTGACGCATAAGTGTTTATCTGTTGTTTGTTCAAAGAAGCGCATGATCCAGCAGTCAAACTGAGAGAGCCTCTTCTGATCGTTAGAGGTGATACTGGGAAAGCGTGCGCCTCGCGGCGAGGGCGCTGACGGGACGGCAGGAGTGTGACGACGAGGCGTCTCTGTGTTCTCCAGGCCCGTTTACGGCCCGTTAACTACAGACCCGTCCTTGTAATGAACACCGACTGTCTGCTGTCACAGACCGCACATTAAATGGCGGCGTGACAGCAAAGAGGGCGTCTGTTTGTCTATGGCACTGACAGCAGCTCCTCCTCTGGGATTCGTTGTGTTAAAGTGTACAAATGATGCTCACGTCCTCTTTACATACTCGCTGCTCAGAGGAAGCGGCGTGGACAAGCATCTGTCACTGATCAGAGCGCTCAGACTGACACGCTCACAGATTCTTCTTGACTCCAAAGAAACCGAGAACAATAGCTGCTGTTATTGCTGATGGCAGGAAGTGCTCACGCATTGATGTGAGTGCGTAGAAAAGTAACCATGGTAACAGGTAAACAGCTCAAACACAGCCTGAACACAAAGACAGCGCATCCATCCATCCACCATCCCTCCATCCATCCCTCCATCCAACCATCCATCCATCCATCTAGCCATCCAACCATCCATCCATCCACCATCCCTCCATCCATCCCTCCATCCAACCATCCAACCATCCATCCATCCATCCATCCATCTAGCCATCCAACCATCCATCCATCCACCATCCCTCCATCCATCCATCCATCCATCCATCCATCCATCTAGCCATCCAACCATCCATCCATCCACCATCCCTCCATCCAACCATCCATCCATCCATCCATCTAGCCAACAAACCATCCATCCATCCACCATCCCTCCATCCAACCATCCATCCATCCACCATCCCTCCATCCATCCATCCAACCATCCATC